TACTGGGCTGAGTGAATATCACAGATGTACTAACCCACGGGTAAAGTTACGGGCAGCATAATTCAATTTTTTATTTGTTCCCATTTTACTAAACGTAAATTCCAGATAAACCGTCAATCAGAAAGAGAGGAGACGAAACAACACTCCTCATTTATTTGTCTCTAAACGGCTACATCAAATCGCCATGAGCACGAAAGAACAGATGCAATTCAAGAAACAATTTACTGAAATACGTCCTCGAAAGAAACATATGAGAACTGTAGCACTGCAGCTGCTTCTTCGTTACATTGTTTCTCATTTTATGCGTTTCTGCATATATGCAAATGCAGAAACGCATACTGTGACAACCCATGGTGTGTGTGTGTGTATATGTGTGTGCGTGTGTGTGTGCGCGTGCGTGTGTGTGCGTGCGTGTGCGTGTGTGTGTGTGTGCGTGCATGTGCGCGCGTGTGTGTGCGTGCGTCTGTCCAAGTATTTCAAATTGGCAACCAACCAAGTCCTGGCACTATAGTTTTGCCAATGGGTTCCTCGGCCAAGTACCGCCCCACGGCATGTCCGGGTTCCGGATATGAGCACGTGAAAGTTCTGGAGGAAAGATCGTTAACTCGAGAATCAGAAAAGCTATAAAAAGCTGAAATTTTGAGGGGATGTTCCCCGTCCACGCAAAACTTAAAGATTTCTAATTCAGTATTCAGATGTGCGTGGTTCTTATGTACGGCCCCGCAAATATTTTTGGCGGAGAAATCGCTAACTCAAGAACCAGGAAATTTGGGAGGCTGAAACCTTAAGGGGATGTTCGAGAACCAGTACGTCACAAATTCTAGCTACTGGGATTCCAAGCGATCTTACTACAGCACAAAATACCGCAAAAACGTATGATCGCACGGGCCCGTCAGGTGCGCGTCGCCAATGAATTATTTTATTTGCTAACTTATCCTCCGTTATCGCTGACGATATGAATTGAACATTAACAACGAAGGAATATTTCTCGATCAAACGAAACGATATTTTGAGGAAAGTAGCCGAACCTTGGTGGATGGTTTAGCATACTTGGCAAGCGCCATTCCTTGTGATTTAAAAATTTTAACATTTGCAGCAAGCAGATCTTTGCGTTCCATGCCCTGTTTCCGTGGCATAGCACCGATGAGAAATGCGTAATCCAAATCCTTGAAGGCTTCCTCCTCGTTCGTTGTTACAATTACATCTGCAAATCAAACATTCCTGTAACACTCATCCAATTTCACTCTTGTCTAGAACTTGTACAAATGAGCTTTGTTGGGCGAGAAGATTTCTGGCTCTCTTCCACGTCGTCCGGCAGCACCACAGAATAACTTAGTGAACAAGAAGAAATATAAACAAATCCATAATAAAAGTGGAAATCATGAAGATTGAATTCCTGAATGGGAATATTCCTGTCCATTCACGGGCAGATCCAGGGTAGCATCCTGGCGGAGTAGTAGGTCTAGCGATGGGACGATGATATG